GAGCAATCAATGCTGGCAGTGCCTCCGATCACTTTGACAACCAAAAATACTCACACCTCTAAACTGCAGTAATCATGTGATTAGCCACAATATGATAATGTATTTTAAAGCAACTATAGACCCTAAAAGTTGCTGGAGTAACTAATTCCCTTAAGATTCTTCCAGCACTGCTCGAAACTCCCGAGGAAGTTTCGATTGCCCTGGCAATCCTACCTAACTTTCATATTCAGTGTTGACTTCAATAGCACTGTTTTTACATACCTACTTAACTAATACATGACATCTTAAGGCCAAGGTTTTATCAAATGTGAGAAAATGAATGATCAATCCTATCAGTGCACAGGCAGAGAGAAAGCTTTCCATACATACCACTGAAACCTAAATAATTCTACCAAATATTTTTTTTAAAAAAATGCTAAAGAATCAAGTGCCTGTGTTTTTCTAATGGTAGATACTGAAAATCTTTAAATCCCTAGGACTTCTCTGACCCTGGCTTATGCCTTAATTTTTTGTTTTTTGGATTTCTATGCCTGAACAAACTACCTTGAATACTTCTATAGTACACCTTGAATAAGTCTATGTATCCCTCCTGTTCCACCTTGTTGATATTTATCAATCCTGGAAGGAGCAGATAACGTTCACTAAATAGATGTACAAATTTAGAGCATGTGAATTTCTTTCACCAACCATACTTCCAAATATTAATAGCACACACTCTTAGAAAAATAAGAGCTTGGTCTCTGTTTTACATATCTAAGGTTTTAATTAATATGCATGTTTGTACTTTTCAAAATATTGCTTTCAAATTCTAGAACAAATCATCCTCACAAACATTTAACTTATTAATATCATAAAAATGATTTGATGATAAATGATTAGTATCAATACAGCAACAATAAAATAATTAGGGTCTTTATTCAAATACTAGTCCCTTCAAGTGTCAAGACAACCTCAACAACTGTTAAGCTGCCGTCATGTGATATATAGGTCCAGAGACCAGAAAATCTAGAGCTACATGTGACACGCCTGTCCCTGGGTACTACCAGCCCTGTAGCAGCAACCCAATCTCCATCACTAGTCCTCTGATTAATCCACAGAGAGACATGAACTAATATTAACGTAGCACATATAACACTGATTAAACTGTCTTCATATCTGCCCTTTGCAGACTTGTATTAAATAAAATCTACAGAACTATATGAAAGGCAAAGTAAAAGAAATAGTAGATTCTTTAAGATTAGTTTAAGTGCGGGGGAAGGCGGGAATGAAGGGGTAGAATTGGGAAAATATTTATTTGATTTGATTTACACATTCACCTGTAAGTCACTGATATGATTTTACAATTGTCCTTTAGGATCAGTTTAGATATTTTAGGGCTATTTGGAAAAAAATTAACTTTGCAATAGTCACTTAGAGGTCACTGATATTTTCTTAGGTTAAAAAAATTCCACATTGTAAGATCAAAAATCAGAAGAAACTAATTTTTAAGACTCAGGAAACTCATAGACAAAGAGTAACACAGGAATAAAGAAACTAATATGGTTGCGTCAAATTTAAAAGAGCACAAATGAAGACATGGACCTGATGCAGAAAAGAGGTTTCACGACGCCATTCCGTAAAGGGAGTCTTAGAAAGTTTACGGCCAACATAAGAATAATATTCTAAAGCTAATCACTGCATGAAGCAGATCTCATGGCAAATAAATACCACTGTAGCAAACAGAGAGATGATTCAGCATTAGCAGAGCAGATTTACAGTGTCTAACACTGACCTTAACTTACTCTGCCCAAAAGATTCTTGCAATCCTGAAACTTCTAGAAAAATGAAAAAAAGTCTAAACTATGCCAATTTCTCAAAAAGCAGTTTTTATTAATTTACAAACACTGTTAAGGTGCTCATTGTCATAGAAAACTGCCACTCATAATCCTACCAAAAGCGTGGAATCACTAAATTATAATCTGTAGACTTTAGATATCTATATGAAAACTTGTTGCACCCACTTGTTAAATTAAGCGAAAGCACAAATATTGAATTAGCCCAGAACTTTGCTAAACAAAAACTCATTTTTTTCTTTTCTAAGATACAATTTCACAAGAGCAATCATCTAGTTTCACACTAAAAAATGTAGCCCCAACTTTCCTTTTGAAATGTAGACTATATTACCAAATTAAATAAACTAAAGTGAAAAACCATACCTGATATTTTAAGAGTAAGGAGATTGTGTGTGCATGGAGAGCAAGATAGGGACTGAGAATACAGGAAAGATTTGGCAAGCTGCTGAATCAGAGGGTATGGACTCCTTCTGCTTGAAATCACTCAGGTCTCTCATCTCTTAGAAGGATTTCTAAAAAGACAATGGTAACAGAGTATATTACGTAAAGCAATTTTCCTATCTACAAATGTATATGAAGGGATACAAGAAAGAGAATGTTCACAAATGAACCAGAAATTTCTCCTATTTCAATAAATCAATTTCTTCAATGAGGCCCAGAATACCAGACAGACATCCCAAGGGCCCAACTCCCCGAATGCACAGAGCACAGATATGCATAGAGCAGAGAGTCCTGGCACAAGCCTCAGTTAGGAAGTGAGTGCAGTGGGTTTACTCCAGGTGGGAGAATTTGATACTGACAACACAGTTTCTGTACAACAGATCAGAAAAACCAAGTCGGCTGTTCTCAGCGGCTTTGGAGCTGCAGAGTTCAAATGAGAAAATGAGACTGATTAGAGCTTTTGTTTGAAATATGTACATTACATAGCTCTAAGGTCAACAGCCCTCTAGCTCGGATGGGCCTTGAGCAATTAAACAACATCACATCAAAATGTCAAATCAGAGACCTGCTAATACGCTAGCAAAGTACTATAAATCCGCAGTTAGACCATGGCACTCCAGTATTTTTGTTCCTTGGGGGGAAAAAAGGATTAAAGGAAAATTTTTCAAAAAATACTGCTCCAAACACCCATTAATAAAAAGCTAGCTTAGAATTAAACACATGGCTATTTATCATTTACCTGACTGATGTTATAGACAGCTATTGATATATGCTCTCCTTTACACTTTTGATTAAATGTAGACATCCATGTCATACTGCACTGAACACATAATTTATTACATCACAAATATCAGGCTTTGTTTAGGGTTTCTACAAATCCCTCTAACCCCTTAATTAAAAATACCTAGTTTCTCTCAAGAAATTAAAACATATTATCTTACCTCTCACTGTAACAGTAGGATATTCCTCCCCATGGTACGAAAAACAAAAGACTCATTGTCAGTTTTCCTGCAAGAGGTAAGTCCATCCAATCAAAACACCCTTGAATTAAAATGTTAATTTTCCTTATTTTCAAGACTAATTGCCAAAAAACATAGACGTAAAAGTCAACATGAAAACGGGGTGGTTAAGAATAAAGAGCTTTCCAATCAGTCTGCTCTCTGATGAGATGATTACAACTCCTATGGCTCCCAGAAAAAGTACAATGTAACCAACTGTCGACTACATATCCTGCAAAACACTATTAAAGTCAAAGAAGTTTCAATGAAAGATACTTTCCTGATATTTTCCCTATGTTAGGTGTGTAAAAACTTTACATAATTATAAAAGGAAAATTAAGTCAATTCTTTACTGACACTCAAATGCCAAGCTTCCAACTCCAACAAAATTTCTATGGCAAAATACCATATGATAGTTCATTTCACAATTCCCAAAACAAAATGAATTCACAGTTGACCCCTGTGAATTACTGTTTTTCCACTGGAGTTGCCAATGCAAGTATTACTTTTGTTATTAAACCTTTAAAATTAAGAGATTTCCAGGACCCCTGTAAAATACTTGAGAATTTCCTGAACAGCAGAGGAAAGCTAGAGCAACATGAACATACTGGTCCTGGCACCCAAGTCTCCATTTCCCACATAAAGACTCTCTAAGCAACAATACAGTCATCTTACAAGTAGCTTCTCAGAGCTCTTTTGGTTTTTGATACACAATACAACATACAGGAAAACTCATCTTCCAGATAAACTACACATAGATGACAGAGAAGCTTCCTGAACTCACAGGCAAATAAAGCAAATAGGAAGCTATACCAGATAAAGTGACAACTTAAACTTATTTCGCTAAGGGGTCAGGCACACTTATATCACTACAAGATTCCATAGGTCTTCTCCCAAAGTTTTAAGGTATTTTTTATTTTGGTAGGGAGTGACTCCTCTACTTTACATAATCTGAGTTTGGGGGTTTATTCTCTCTATGTGTAACTACTTCTCAAGAGCATTTAAAAATAATGGCAATGCCTACTGCGTGCAGAGCAATGTGTATTGTTCTATAGTTTAAGAAGCCCTTAAACTGTATGTATATACATGATTTTTTATTTTTTTGAAAATAAGTACAGGCCAGGCGCCGTGGCTCACGCCTGTAATCCTAGCATTCTGGGAGGCCGAGGCGGGCGGATTGTTTGAGCTCAGGAGTTCGAGACCAGCCTGAGCAAGAGCGAGACTCCGTCTCTACTAAAAATAGAAAGAAATGATCTGGACAACTAAAAATATATAGACAAAATTAGCCGGGCAAGGTGGCGCATGCCTGTAGTCCCAGCGACTCGGGAGGCTGAAGCAGGAGGATCGCTTGAGCCCAGGAGTTTGAGGTTGCTGTGAGCTAGGCTGACGCCAAGGCACTCACTCTAGCTGGGGCAACAGAGTGAGACTCTGTCTCAAAAAAAAAAAAAAAAAAAAAAAGAGAAGTATATTTCCTCAAAATAAATTATTTGTAGTTCTTGTTTCAAGGTAAAGAGAAACGCCTATTTATGATTTAAAAAAAAAAGATAAAGGACTGTCTCTTGACATTTGTCTGCTGCAGTAAGCAAAACAGTGTGACTCAAGTGAGTGCCTGTGTAGAGCAAGAATAGAATAAATGGACAGTTCTAGGGGGCTTTGAGTCCCAGGTTAAATCTAACCCTGACCTTGTGGGTAGAGTTCCCAGATACTGTGTGAGGAGTTACTATCTCACCTCCCACTCCAGTCCAAAACCCTGAATGGTCTGTAGAGAAAGACAGAAGAGGAATTACTGAGAAGCAGAGCCCATGACCACCTGCAGGAAGAGCCTGGCTTCGCAGCAGCATATCAGGAAGGCAGCGCTGGCCACCTGGGATGAGCAACGAGGAGTTTTAGACTGAGGAGGCACCATCAACAAAACAAGGTCTAATATTTTAGGAAGATTAAGTTGACAGGAAAGAATGAGGAAGTAGGTGAGGAATGGGCAGCCAGAAAGACTAGGGCCAGGCAAGCTGGTTCAGAATCCAAGATAATAAGCAATCAGGGTTTGAACTGCAGGCAAGAGCTGAAAAGACACAAACAATATGATCGACACCACAGAAGGAGAACAGGCAGAATGTGTTAGCTAACTGAACAGGAGGCAAAAAGAGACGGCAAAGATGGGTACCAAATTTGGAATGGGGCTGACTGCAAGAATGGTAGTTCGAATATATTTTAAAGATAGAGCAGTCAAGAGTGGGCACAGTATTTAAGTGGAAGGTGCTGAGCTCCATTTTAAAGACTTTGAGAAGACGCCAGACATTCCCATGGAAGCTACGTCTGTCAAACAGAAGAACAGCTCCAAGCACAGACAGGCCGTCAAGGCTGGGGATGGAGATTCAGACGTCTTCAGTCCCAAGGCGGGGGCTTCAGGAGAGGAAACTGCCAAGCAGAAAACTATCCAGAGAGAAGAGACAGGATGCGGCTTTGTGAAAGGCATGGAAGGGACTAGAAAAACAGATGCCCCTCCACCAAGTTCAGTAGGGGTGGGGGAACTTCAAAAAGCCTAAGGTCTCAAGAAATAACTTGAAAGGGTTTCTCTCAACAATAACTGTGCCACGTTATCTCTCAAGACCTACTGGATTAGGAGACATATCTAAGAAAGATGTTATTCATGTTTTTGAAAAACCTAAAGTATCTCAAATTGCTTCATTATTCTTTATCTATTCATCTCAAAACATCCCGGTGAAAGGGAGAAGTATCATTATCCCCAGGTTACAAAAGAGGTGAGAGAGGACAAGTGACCTGCCTACCCCCACCACAGCCCGAAATAACTCAGTCTCCGCGCTTGATCTGTGACACCGCTTGATCTGTGACACCGTCATCGTCGCTCTGTACCCTGAGGTAGGGCGAGGTTTGCACTCACACAACGTTCATCTCAACAAGCGAACTGACCTGCTCCAGGTCTTCTAACAAGTGGTAACAGAGTTTCACAGTTAAGAATCTAAATTCATCCCAAGAACCTTCGTTTTGAAAACTCCTACTTTGGGGTATACTTTAAAACTAGGTCTTTCAAAATTATGGCAAAGTCTCTAAAATAAGTCTCACAGAGTGAGAAACATTTAGAATGTCACTTTTATACTGATACTCCAAATTACACTAAATTGTCTTAATAGGGTCTTAGGTAATGCACAGGATTCATACTCAAGTTTATAAGGGTTTGGTGAATCTCACAATTCTTTTCAAATTTTGATGGCATCATTTAAATTATTTCAAAATGCCACAGAACTTTCCCACCAGAGTTTAACACAGTCTCAGCAGAACTACATATAAGTACATATAAAATGTGTGGGTTTTACCAATTTCCAGACAGGCTGCCCACTGTAATCTAACTAACAGTTGCACTTAGCTTTACATATTTCAGACAAGCTGTGCCAAGAAGTAATTCAGCTCTCTGAAAGCAAAACCTAACATATGATTTATTACAAGAGCTACAAAATATTCTTTTCACTAAAATGGATGGAAAATATGTAAGTATTCAGTGAAACCTCCTTTATTGCATGTTCCAAAGGACTAATAAATGAAAACACAGCATAGGTATGACATGAACCAAGACTCTAAGAATAAATACTATACCGTACTGAGAAAAATATTATAAGCACATTTCACTCCAAATGAACCAGATTTACTACATACAATAACTCTAATTCATGCTTCAGGGAGGTGGGGTGGGGAATATTTTCTTTAAGAAAGAATATTTCAATGACACATATATTCACTCCAGTGAAATTATACAGAATAGTCTATAGTTCAGAAAACCACCTCATTACCAAATGTGGCTCCAAAAGCACATCTCTTTTCATGTATTTTATTTATCAGTATATTCTGTCTAAAGACTATTTATGCCACAATACAAATTCAATTTACACTATCTATACTTACAAAGATTACAAATAAAGATGTTACAATTTACACTTTTCCCCCCAGGAAAAGTTGTATTAATGACATGTGTTTTCCTTGACAATCAATAAGCTATCTTTATAACATAGGAAGTCAAAGTTAGTTAAGCATTTCAAAAGTAAACCTTATTGCCTTCAGACAAATTCATAATTTCTGTGCATAACCCCCAAATTGGTTGTTTTTAAAAAAAAAAAAAAAAGATTTTAGAAAAACTAGTTTGCCTTCTACCATCAATCTTCAAGGGATTGCTTCACCAAGTGTCATTTTCTAGGAGAAAGACAGTTGTTTCTGTGCTATTCAGCATAATGGACCACATGCTTAAATTATTCACCATGCATCAACTCTATGCAAATTTATTTAAATTTCATAATAATTTAATCTGCATACTGGGAACACTGATTCCATGTCATGAAAACTCCTTTGTAATCTCCAGGATAACTCACATTGCTTTACCTCTTGCCACAAAAACGATGCCAAGTCAGAATTGCTAAAAGTGACCATTCTCTAAAGTCACAAAGCTAAAAGTGGGAAGGAATTTGGACAGACCAGAAGTCCATTCCTTAGCTTCCAGTTATAAACTACATAGTCTATTCTTATAGTACTTTGACAAAAGAGATTCAATAGAACCGCTTTGACGATTCAACCATCCAGAGGAGCCTTTCTTTAATGCAACGGTTGAGAATGGGGTAATTTTGTCCCCTCATTTGGCAATGTCTGGAGACTTTATTGGTTGTCACACTACTGGCATCTCCTGGATAGAGGTCAGGGAAGCTGCTAAACCTCCTATAATGTACAGGATAGCCCTGGACAACAAAGAATTATCCAGCCCAAATGTCAATAGTACAGAGATTGAGAAACCCTGCTTAAATGGCACCTAAGTATTACTTTCAGTAATGGAGTCCACAGCTTGCAGTCGCTCTATGAACGTGGTTTTTGCAGCTCTAACCAGAAACTTCAACAGGAGGGACCTGGAACGGCCTCTAACCAAATGGTGTAACGGGTGACAGCACAGCTGATGAGCAGCACGCAAACCAGGACATACGGCAGTGATACGGGTAAGGATGGTGAAGTGACGTCCCCCATCACCTGGAAACTCCCCACAGCTACCCGTCAACATGCAAGTTTGACAATTTTCCCCCAACAGTCCACCTACTCTACTCCTCTTTCACTCCCCACTATGGAGTTTTCTAGTAGGAGCCCACAGTTTTGTCGTTTTTGCTGCATAGGTATTAAAAATAACATGAAAAGCTAGTCAGAAGACATGAAATTAGTAAATAACCTAAGGTGCTTTCCATCCCGGAAAGTCTATAATTTAACAGAACTTAAAAGATTTGTAAATCAGATCCAGAACTTGAAAAGAGATAAGCAGCTTAAAGAAACAGTCCTATGAATAAATAAACATCTAATGTAAAATAATCATCAAAAGAATATGTGTGCTGATATATGTACATAACTGCACAGACCCAGCTGAGGAGAAAAGAAGGAGCTAAACTTGAGTGTTACCTCTAACTGCATCGGCAACAAAAATGCATATTTAGGGCTAAAAAGCAGAATTTACATTTTCCACGTCTCAAAAGATTACAGAACTTTAAAATTCAAGATTAAAAAAAATCCTTCAAACGAATCTTAACGAAAAGAAAATTTCAGGATTGAGCAACCTTACAGATCAATATGGAATTGATCAATAAATTATGGCCCATCCACATATTAAATAGCCATTAAACATTATATTGAAGAAGAGTTAAGGGCATGCCCACAATATTAAGGGAGGAGAGGTTACAAACAATACATACAATATATTATCAATCCTGTATAAAATGTAAATATATAGAAGTGAATAAATCCTATAAATAAATATATATGAGTAAAGAAATACACACATGGACGCCAGAAAGAAGGAGAAGGAGATCTGCCAAACGTTAACAATGGTTATCTGAAGAGGGGGAAGGTTAGTGCCCATTACTATTCCTTCTTTGTGCTTTTCCCTACTTTCCAATTGTTCCACAGTGAGAATCTTTTGTTATGCTTAGTACTTACAAAACTAATGATTATTACAAATTTAAACCTTATTGTTTCAGGCACTGAATAAGAAATGAGGAAAAAACAAACCTGAAGGTACCAACTTTTCGATTAAAGAAACCACCTTCGGAATTCACAAAAGCGAACATTTCTTGAGCCTTATTATTAATATTATGTTCCTGGCACTTTTCTAAGCACTTTAAATGTATTCACGTATTTCAATCAAACCAAAAGAGATGTGTTGGGTAAAAAGAGCCCTAGAATCACAGAAAATGTAAACAAGTGTTAGTTCCACTATGAATTTCAATTTCAGTTTCCATAGCTCGAAATGAGGGGTTTTAATAAGATGATCTTTAAAGGTCCTCTCAAGGCTAAACCGACATTCTACATATAAAAGAAGTTGGCCAAATAACTGTTTGTCTGGAAGCTTCTAGAAAGCGATGGGGCAGCCGCATGCCATCTCAAAAACACAGAACCCTACTAAAAAGGAACATATGACTGTGTCTCAGTTCCTCCTCCATAATATCTGTACAGCAAATTTCCTATCGTGTTTTTTAAAAAAAAAAAAAGGCCTATATTTTTCTAAAACTTGGACAAAACTAATCAAACCAAAATGAAATCTGTGTTATTGTACGTAAAAGAATCATTCAAAGGTTCCATTTGTTGTTAAAAGTTTCGGTCACTTTTAACAAAAAACCTGGAGTAAACAAAAACTTTAAGAAATATTTTAGTAGAGTTCTGGGGACAATGATTGTTCTACGGACAACAAGTTTGGTGCCTGATTAAAAGGATGTAAGAATCTACTGGAATTCAGCAAAAGGCGTTCCACGTCTCAAATATACTCCAAACCGCAGCACCACACTAAATGAAAAGTGAAGGACCAGCATGAATCTCATCTCTTGGGGGAAATTCCAGCTGCGTAGTGAAGGTAACTGGGGCTTCCCGATTAATTGTGGGATTGTTCCCACACATCACAGCCCGACACAAGGTTGCAAGCCCGTGGGTAGGTCGTTCACGCCACGGAGGTTTGGGGAATAAAACTGACCCGCTAGGTTTGCTTCATATCTCACTTGCCGCCATCAAAAATAGACTCATGGATAGCTTTAGTAACAAAATTAATAACACAGACGTGGACGTCTATTACATACACACACACACACACACACACACCGGTGGGTCTATGGGAACATTGAGGGAGACAATCTCCAGGTTTAAAACACACAAAAACTATTTAGGAAACACAAAGACGCACGACACAAAAACAAATTAAGAATGCAAAATGTGCAAGGCACACTCAGTTGGAACACAAAAGAGAAAAGCACAGCGACTTGACAATTGGGACGGCCCCCGGAGCCACGTGGGGTCCCAGGTGGCTCTGCAGCCGCTCGCACGGGGCCCGTCGCACCGCAGCCCACACGCGTCCCCGTGCGGCGACAAAGCGCACCCCAAACTTCGCCGCTGGGGCCCCATGGCCGGCAGCGAGGGGCCCCGGGCTGCCACCCACCCGCGGGACCACCGACCCGGCGGTCCGCGCCTTGTTCCTGGGCGCCCGTCGCGCCCGGGACGCCCGGGACCTCGGAGGGGGCGCGTCCGCCCGGCCGGCCGGCCCTGCGGCGCGGGGACCCCGGTGTGACGCCCCCGCCGCCGCCGCCACGCTCATGGCGCGGAGGGACCAGCGTCCCAGCGCCGGCCCGAAGGCCGCCCGGCCCCGCCGCCTCTTACCTGCGCCCGCCCCGCCCGCGCCTCAGAGTGCCGCGAGCCGCCGCCGTCGCCGCTCCGCCCGCCCCGGCGCCCGCGGCCGCGCCGCCGCCATCTTGGCCCCAGTCGGAAGTGACGTCGGGCGGCGCGGCCGCGGCCTGCGGAGCTGCGGGTCCGGGCCGACCCGTACCCCGGACCCGCGATCCGG